ACATATCTGCAGGAGTAGGAGCGCGACCAAAGATGGAAGGCGTGTGTGATGCGATACGAACGCGCCTCTATCCCATCGATCAGGGGCGCCGGCTCGCCTCCGTGTAGGAAACGCGTGAAATGGAGTGCGCGCGATAGTGCATAAAATACGAATATCATCCGCGCGCGACGACCCGCCCGCTACCATCCCAGCGCCCCATCGAATATTCGGGGCCGCATGGATATCAATCTACCGATATATTATCGGTGTATCGACATACCGGGACGTCGCGCCGCCGCTTCGAAATATCGACACGCTCATCTCGCTTTGTTGCGCAGCGCGCCGCGCGCGATATTGGCCGCGTTAACGTCGCTGCTGCGTTTCGCGTGTTACGCCTTTCCTCGCGAGCAGCGTCATTGTGTCGAACATAATTCATCTCGCTTGACTCGGTCCATCGATTGATTAGAAAACTGTGTCCGTATCTCGGGAGAAAGAAAAACGTACGACATTTCAGATCAACATTTTCCGCTTTTACGAAAAATCTGCTACATGCAGATAATGCAACTTTATTTAATTGCAATTCCGCTAATTAAAACAATTCGGAATTTTTTACGACCGACTGAACGACATGATGATGAGGTGCACTCATCTGAATTACGAATGAATTTCGATTTTCCCGCATTAAAATGATTAAATTACCGGGATATTATCCACGAGTTCGCTTTCCGCGTATCGACGAAAATTAATTTGTGACATGGAATATGCTATTAATAGCCGTTAATATGAGTGAGGTGCAAATCCGTGGGTATATCTAATCGAAAATATCACACGGCCACTCTTCCATTAAAAAGATTGCAGATTTAATCCCCTGGAGCGTACGGGATACACACAACGTGTATATATGAGTATATCGCAACACTTGTCAATTTCAACAAAATTTCCGATATTAATTAAGAGTAATTTTTGAAGCTCAACGCTCTTCAAACGCATTTTGAAATTTCGAAGAAAATGGTTGTCTCGAAAAATATGCGTTACGTAAACCTTACGTTACATGTTTTCCCGCGGCGCTCTTTATAGGCCGTACGCGTCACTCTCGTCGCATTCTCGCGTGCAGATACCCGGCACACGGTTCCGTTTGCCGATTTTTTGCAGGCGAATTGCGCGGACGGAGGAGGGGGGCAATAGGCATCAGGCACGTCGTGCCACAACGAAACGTTATTACGTCCAGCACTTTATTCGCTCTATCGCTGCTGGGCACTGCAGACCTGGGCATTCCGCTGAATTCCGCGAGTGCCCGCGCGCAATGTAATTTACTGCGGCTATGTAAGAGTAACGTACAGCGGGTATATGCGTGTGCGGGTTTGCATCTGTATTTGTATCGATCGTACGTCGAGATAATTACAATGCGGCACGTGTGAGCGCCGCGTCCTTCCACCTTGATAAGAAGTGTTTCGCGGATTGCAATTTAGACACGGCACGGCTTACAATAGGGACAACGCGAGCGTCCAAAAAGGACGCTCGAACCACCACCGTGCAAATTAGATTCAGCTTCGCCGCTGGTTAATCCCTCCTGGACACATCCCGTTATTTAACCCTTAGATACCCGGACGTTTCAAATTAACGTAAAACATTGTATGCGCTTTTCGAGGAATTCCTTGCTCTAATCAATTCATAATCTCGGAACGTTTAAAAGGATAAAAAGTATGCCTCTAGTTTTATTACTAATTATGATGCACAAACATTGTAGATATGCATTTTTCGTAATCAATTTGAGCAGAAAGCAAAATAATTGTAAAGGAAAGAATTATAGAATTCACGTTATAATATTAAATGAATACACAAATACATGTAAAACACTCTGGCAATCGCTCTGTTTCCAATCTAATTAGTAGACACATTATAAGGTTCTCTTAATTAACTCATAATTTTAAATATTCGATTTCAAACTTTTCGATATTCGATTCAACAAATGTTTAAAGAATAAAAAGATTGTTTAAAAGAATTTAATAATTTTTTGAATATTCTTAAAAAAATGTATAGGTATGAGATTAGTATATAATTTTTTTCTTTTTAGATCAACGTTTGGCTTGTCGCGTTTCTCGAGCGAAATTACTAAAAGTAACATACGTTTTTTTTTGCACGTCGTGTTTTCGTCGAGCTTCTATTTGTCTGGTATGCGTCACTGGACGAACACATGTGAATACACGGTGGTCTATCTCTCGTCGCGTACAAGTATCCATGCAACCCGCGCGCATCCAACAAGTCCCGCTCAAAGGGGACATAACAGTACGTATCGTGTGCGTCCCGAAACACGTCGCGGCAATCTCGTTACCCGGCTAAAGACGTCTTTCTACCCCTCGGCAACATACGAAGACGCCCGGGCCGAAAGCAATTTCGCTTAAACCCCTCTCTCGGCGCGACGTACAGAGCGCTGTTCTTTCTCCTTTTCGCCTCTCCCGCATCCAGAAGACCGTTCCCGTGTGCCAAAATAGCGCCCGCTATTCGCTAAGGGCCAATGCACCACGAACGTCGGGGTGATAAGAAAATTCAATTGCGTCGCAATGTCGCACGTCGATGGTGTTAAAAGGACACGATCACGAAAAAAGGGAGAGAGATCTAGCGCGTTCTTCCCTCTTTCGCTGAAAAAAACTTCCCCCAAAAATTCTAGCGAGTTGTTGCACGTGAAATATTGCGTAGGTATCAAAAGTTTCAGTTTCGCGTAGTGCGTCGATAAAGTCAATGTTTTCCGATAATCGAGTGTTATGTATCACGTTAAAGCGATATGTTCCTTTGGCATTTTATTCCTCGTGCAAAATGTTTGCGATTTGTCGAGTTACAAACAAATTTTCAAACAAACGTCAAAAACTTAAAAAACTTTCTGTTACACGATATTATATTCTACGATTTTTAAGTTTTCATGTAAATTGCTATTAAGCGCAATTACAAGCTTTATAAGTTAGATAAGCTTTCATAACTTATAGTGTCGTAAGGTAGAACAAAGTTTGGTGTATTAATAATCAAATTAGTAATACCTTAATTCCCTTTTAACGAAGACAAATTTTCTCCTGCAGTGTAGACACCTTCATGAACTCTTCTTGCTCTTATAATCGACGTAGATCGAATGGGATTAAAAAGCGATTACGCGATAACGAGCAGTTTAACATCAATGTACTCTTAATGATTCTGTAATACGATCGAGCCTCGACATCAATGGAGTGTGACGTGCTCGCGCGTATTAAACCCCATAAAGATATCCAAAACTCTATTCATCAAGCAAAATTTTTAAAGATTAATTCGCAAAAACACGAAGTGATGATTTACACTTGATTTCACAAGCTGAACCTGACATTGATAAAATTCAGACACAAAATATTTTTCGATCGTAATTATCTTTTTTAAAAAATTCATTATCTTCCTCTTATGATTTAGAATTTTAGAATTTGATTTAATACCTCGGACTTTTTTTTTCATCATTTTTGAAGAAGACAATAGGGCTTGTCCTTTCATTCAATTCGCAGGTTTCAATTATATAACAAACTTTGTTCATTTCATAAAAATGATAAATTACAATTTTAGTAGAAATCTGTGATATTTCATTACAGCACCGTTGAAAAAATTCTATCGGGCAATGCCGGCAAAAACGAATCGAGCTAAAAAAGGTTATATATACTTAAAACGTGACAAAGGTTGTACTGCGAAACGTGGAAATTGTTCCGCGCTAATGTGTTACGGGATAATTCCTTAAGCGCTTAATAATAGTAACCAGCGTCTACGACATTACACGCACGCTAATAAGATGATCTCGAGCACACATTTATATCCGCGTAGGCGAGGTAATTAACGCGATAGCAACGTCGAAATGTTGGCACGCTGACGTTACTGCACGGTGCATTTAATTCGCGCGCTAAACCAGCCGGAATGGGGCTTTACCTGTTTTACGGAGACGATGGAAGTTACATTGAACTGACGCACAAAAAGATATTACTCGGATGAACGAAACGCAATCATCTCTTTCGAGTTTAAATAAATATCGCATGCATCGAACAAATTACATATCGATATAACAGAAAAGTCTATCTTTTGACGCACACCAATAATTACTCCTGTTGGAAATTATACAAAAATATTTTTAGACTCCTTTCAGTTACGTGCTGTCGGAATATTTATGATTAATACTCAAATATTATATATATATAAAAATATTAAAGTTGAAAAATTAAAAAAAATCAAATAAGAAGTATACACACCAAAGCTACATTGCAGAAAAACTTAATTAAGCATTATTTAATTAAGTCATTATTGTGTACGTAACAAAATTCTTCTCGATATGAAGTATTAGCTGTGTAATTTGTTCGATCGACTTCTTGTTTCGTCGTGTCATCGTCAATCGCAAAGCTAGTTCCTCCTGTTTTTCTTTTTCAACGTATAATTTCGCCTTTGGGAATACGAACTATTAACGGACGAAATTTCAGAGGATTTTAATTACGGGCAAAGAAATCGATTTCTAATTCTCGGTGGTGCGCCATACGGGACACAATTCCCGCGGGTTTACGAGATAGGAAAGATGAAAAAGGAATTTCCTGCTGTAAAATCGGTCGATTCCACTCTTAAGTAGAATGTTTTGAAATTTTTCACCAACATCGAGACAAAGGAAATAAAACGTAATTCGGCAAGAAAAAGCGAAAAAAAGGAAAATTATGATTTACGGATACGTGTGTATGTGTGTGTGTGTGTGTGTACGTATCTATGTGTTATGTGCTTTTTGCGCCTTTTTTGTCGCGGCAGAAAAGAGCGCGGTAACGCTCCGGTGATGTCATTTTTTTCCAGCAAACCGGCAACGGTTTTCGAACCACGTTTTATGTGGAATATTTTCGAATGAAAAGAGTGCAATTAAAAAAATGACGCGCACACCGGTAATATTTGATGGTATTACAAACGCGCGACATCGCGAAATTATCACGCAGAGTTGTTGTGGGAATATATAGAGCGGGAAATTTCGTAGCCGCAATTGTGAAACTCACCCTTGAGCTCCCTCGTCGGATGCACGGCTTCCAGAGGGTCGTTTAATCTTAGGACAGGATATGCCTCGCCACGGGTGATCAACGACGCTTTAATAGTCACCTGTGACACAACAAATACAACTCTCATTCTCGGCTCCCGAGACCTTTTTCATTTCACATTCGTATATTAATCATACGTACAATACACAGTGGAGTACTTTCCGTAAAAATTTATCGTACATTCTATTTCATATTTTAATATCGCTGTTGCATTTGTATCAATATTTATAATATTTATCTCTTTATTGATATTAATTTACATATTTCATATTGTGTTAAAAAAAGAATATAGGCCAAACATCAAAACATCTGAATTATGCAACGAGCCGTATTGCGTTATAGCCCCGTATTTTTAGTTTTTATAAATTCATAAATGTACATATATTTTCTTTTTGTCCTAATTTTGTGTTAATAAAAGTAATATTTCGGTAAAGTGTTTTGTTTATTCTGGCTACCTATTAGAACATAATTCAATTTCAGCTTCTCGATTGTCACTCTGCATCTTGCCGGACGAATGATAACTTCCTGATTGGATCGGTCGGGTCTTTCGACAATACGTAAACTAATCGGCAAATTAGCGATATCGCTGCTGCGAAGGACGCGAGATAGGGCGGCGAGTTATGCGACGGCTATACGACAGTAATGGCGCTCGCAGCTGACGACGTTAATAGAAGGATTTCGGGAGCGAGCCTCCTGCCTCCGTCCATCGGACTAATTAACCTCGTTATATCGCCGGTCCAACCGACAGGACGCTACTCCTGTTCCCGATGTAACGATCGTCGTACCTCTGTACGAACCGACCCAACGCGAGACATCCCCCCGTCGAGAGAGTTTAATTAATCTAATGACGGTCTCCGTAACATCCTTGAGTGACCGACGTAACTCGATGTGACGTATAGATACACGAGGATATACCGGACACCTTCAACATATTTAGGGTTGATTTTTATTAACAAAAATAAAATCGCGTAAGGTCACTGTTCATAAAATTAAATTAGAACAAAGAATTCCGATGAACAACATCCTCATTTGGTACTTTCGTTAAACTGGAAATCGTTTCCAGACAGCTCGAGAAATCCGTCGTTCAAAAATAATGCGGCAGAATTGGGCCATCCAATATGTATTCATGTCACTAAGCCTCAAATTTGAAAGTATACATTTTCATACAAGGGCCAGTATTGTAAAAGTTCTCGTTGAGCTTTAAATGGATATAAAATATCGAGGCATCGAAAACGCGAATTGGATTTCGCCAAAAGTCCAGTCTGGAGAGACCAGATGTTACATAGATCGATGATAACTTTTAGTTTTAGCAACTGTCGCGCATTTGTTACTGTTCCATCAATGGATGTCACACAACTGGACGATCGATGGATTCGATCGAAATGCGAAAGGCTGCTGCAGCTCGCGACAAGTACGACGATCTGCCGTCACAAATCGAATTTAGCATTCGGAGGCGACGTTGCGGATATTCGAAAAATCCGCGAAAAGCCGCGATTTTATTTCCGCCGAGCGTAGCGAGATTCATATTTCAAACTATCCGATTTATCATTTTTTTTTTTATCAAAATGATCAAGTACCTAATGTATCACGAATACTGGTGAGCTCTCGACACATATACAGCTATCGATGACGCAAAAAGATGATTCTATATTTAAAAATTAAAAAAATGTATGATCAAATTCTGTCATAAGGCTTCGTTTTTGAGAAAAAAAAAGTCGGTATCCAATCGATAGACGGAAGCCCACGCGGTTCAAAGTAACGAAGCCCCACCGGTGCAGTATTGCTCCAACCGGAGACATTAACCGGAAGTAACTCCGCCTCCATCAGGTGCCTCGTCATACTGTTCATTACTTATCGATCCGACCGGCGAAATTGAATTTAGCGGGAGAGAGCGATGGAAAAAAGGGGTCGACAAAGTATCAGGGGAGGAAAAAATGAGGGACGGGCAAGAGGCGGGCACGTTACAGGGTAGGTTTCGAACCGTGCGTCAAGAGCAAAGAGCGTAGGAGAGCAGTGCGGAGGAGAGAGCGGTCGGAATAACCCGCGAGAATCGAGAAGCGAGTCATGCGCGCTATCTCTCTCTCTCTCTTTCTCTTTCTCTCTCGTGGAATTTATCGCGTTAGTACTGCGAGCGAGCGAGGCTCTAACACTCTCGACACCGGGATTCCAATTAGCCATTTTAGTCATTTCGCAAGATCGAATTCTACCGATTCTCGTCTCGTTCGTCTCCTCATTCTTCCCCTCGCTCCCTTATCTCGCGAAGCGTCGCGCCGATCTCGGAATAGTATTGGCGGATGCCGGAGTACTTCGCTTCCGAGTACCCGATTACGTCGAGCATCACGGGTATTAAACGCTTGCTAATTCGATATCTTCGATAATGTAGTATAATAGAATCTTCATCATTTCCATTATCCAAATGTTCTGTCGTTTGAACCAGAATATTCGATGCGTAGAACATCGCGTCTCTCCTACTGAAACAAAAAAATATACCGCACGCTTGCTTCCTAAAGAAATGTGAAAGACCTGTTATCTTTAATTTTAGAACGTTAGACAAGAGGCTTTATAAAATATGGCGTAAAATTAACGTAATTTTACGCAGCTTAAACTACGTTAACGGACTTACATAATTTAGCAGACGTGAGAGGTCTATAAACGTGAAAGCAAGCCGTCAAGTTTTGCGCTTCGTTCGTTTTTCTTTGAAATAAATAACGTCGTTAAGCGTCAGGGAAGCAATTGCTCTCGGAACGACAAATCGAAATCGAAACGAGGAGACAATTTAGGTAATTTCATCAAATTCGTTCTCTCCTCCGTGTTAGCAGCGTTAGAAAAGCGAGGTAGACCGTGTCGTCATCGCACCCGAACTCATCGTATTGACTCGTTCCGCGGGGATGGAATTCCAGCGGATGGAATTCTCTCTCAACGATGCGATTTCCGCCAATACAGCCGTGCAATCGTTAGACGCGCGCGCGTACGTTCACGTAAAATAATAACGAAGAGATGCAAGCCTCGTTTTATACACGTGTTCGCAATTTCTTTCTTCCCTTTCTTCTCTTCTTCTTCTTCTTCGTCCAACGACTTCTTTTTTCAATGGTATTTCGCTTTTACGTTCTCATGCAATAACGAGGTGTTACTGCATTCGCGCTCGCGCTTCTCTCTCTCTCTCTCTCTCTCTCTCTCTCTCTCTGCTTTTTACTTTCTCGACAATGTTTCTTCTCCGTGTCCATCGTCGACTTCCTTAACTTCGCCTTATGGAGAACGCTCACCGTCTTGCGTTTCGTTCTGCGAAACGAGCTTGCCGTCGTCGGCGAAAAAAAATCCATCTTCGCCGTGACGCGAAAGAAACCCAGCGACACGGAGTAATTCTTCATCGCAGAAATACCGTAGAGTGCAGCGTCGGGCATAGCGTCGAGAAAGGGAGACATAACATGGATGAAATTGCGGCTCGCGCGACGATATTGAATGTTTTATAGTTCAAACATATCCTTTTCCAGAGCATTTCAAAATTTATATTTCATATTCAAACCACGCTTTTTGAAGTATCCTGTGATTTGCACCCGGCACGCAAAATATGATTTTACAATATTTCCTGGATTGTACCATTTATATACGTAATAACATCTACTCGTATTACAATAAAAAAAAGAACCACGTATATATATATATATATTTTTTTTTACTAACGATTTGATAGATATGGTTTGACAGGATGAATTACCGGCAGGTTCTAATTTCCTTTTAACGAGAGACGATACGTATACATCGTGCATCATTCGATTACGCGAAGTGTCCTGTAGTTTGGGAGAGCATTCCCACGGTATTGGATAAAATTGCGGTACGCGTGCAATTGTACGGACGTAAACTGCGTTTGTTGACGGATGTATTTAGCGCGTGGTCCCCGAGAGGGTGACAAGAGAGGAGAGAGGAGAGGAGAGAGGAGAGGAGTGTGCCGCCGCACGCACATTGTGTCGCGCGCATACCGCGTCGCCGTTCATCGTTTCATTCGGGCTCGTTAACCATCGTTAGCGCTGCCGTCCGTTCTCTTGTCGACCAAACCGGCGCGGCACGGCGCGCGGCATGCCGCAAAAACCGCGAAACGCGCGCGACAAAACTGTCCCGGACGGAAAGCCACAGACTTACCAGCAGCCACGGGCGCAGCGCGGTCGGGGTCTTTCGTCTAACGCTCGCAACGGTAATTGCGCTTAACGCTCGCGTAGGTATTCGAAAATGTCGCGCGATTCGTGTCGCCACTTCCTCTGCAGGTGTACAAAACAGGAAAGATTTCTTCGTACCCCGACGAGGAATTCCAAACAGGAATGCCAAAATTTACTAACTAACATTTCCTACAATTGTGATAAATGGAACTGTATAAATATTATATAGTCATAACTTTCTGTGAAATAATAATTACGATAACTGCATATTTTCGTAATTCTTCCTACCTTTTATTTTCTTTTGACGTTTTTTTCAAAGCACGCGCTGCACCTTCGCGTTTACTCGACTCGAGGATCGACAGTGGAGGGTTAACGCGACGCCCGTTTCGAAGGGCGACTGCTTTGACTAAGTACCTCTTCGGAACACACACACAGCGTGTACCCGACGACGCGCCGATGTTGGTGTCGTCTCGTTTGCGGCCGCGGAGACTCTCGCAATCATTGCACCGCAAATTGTCCCACAAACGTCTCGCGGGGCGTCCCTGTAATCTCACTGGGATACGGTCGTGTATACGCGTCTGTCGCGCCATAGGGGTTCGTAAAGTACGAAGTACACGCGCGCGCGCGCACACACACACACGCACACAGAGATTTAGGAAAATACGCGACGCTCTCTCCGCGGGGCGGAGAATCTCACCGAATCCCGCCTGTCGCGATTTACTCGTTGATAGTTAACTTGTACTGTTGTCCCGCTGGTTAAACGATAATGACAGAGACCTAGATAAATTTAGCGTCCTTGGCAGAAGTTTCAAGGAAAGACGTCCTACTGTACCATCGCGTCTCTGTGATCCTCGACGTTAAATACCCTCGTGGTGAAACGTCGAGTTTTAATATATCTCGTTTATCTTAA